CCCCCCCCCCCCCCTCTGTAAACCTCGTTTGTCGTAAAACGCTCGCGTCCATGCGGGAGCAGGGATCACGCAACGAACCATAGAATATATATGGACAGATGGATGTAGAGGGGGAGGGGTACGCGAGAGAGGGATGGTTTCTTAAATAAATATCTTGCCGCGAAAGCACGTCGTAACCCCGTGCACCGCGGATTCGATCGTTAACTCCGCGGTTTTACAGCCGCCGCTAACCGTGTGTGGTGCCCCCCTTGATCCGGGAGAAGAGGGCCTGCAGAGGCGGCGGACCACGCTGACGCGTCGCTTTGATTGCGATTCCTCGAGCACGGCCGCGCGCTCGTAAATCGGCGACGCGGACGGAAACGCGAGCGGGCGCAGAAACAATCGGAATCGGGGATATCGTGAATAACCAAGTATCGCGAACTCGCGAGCGAGGTGCACGTGCTTTAGAAAGGAGAGCGCGTCAGTTTTTTTGACGTCGCCGTCTGGTTAAGTGGTACGTTTCCTTCTACGTTAGACCCGCTAACTTCTGTTCGCCCCGCGGATTAGGTAGGTGACCTCGCGCCTGCTGTCTATGCACGCGTTTCGCCAACACGCCGCGCGTTTATCCGCTCCGCCTGTGTTCTCGAGCTACGACTTCGCCTGCCTCGTCTCTGCGTTTACATTTCGGTCGCTGTGCGTATTCCTCGCGGTGAGAAATTTATCGGTGAGCACCGCTTTTTCGTAGATCCCTGTGTGCAAGTGTGTGTCGTGCTTTTCCACGCTTCGTCTCTATCCCGCTGGCAGAGTTTTCCGCAACGGCGTGCTCGAGGATCTCAGTGAACTAAACGACGAGACTCGACTGGTATCCAACTAGATATTCGAGATGTCGTTTTTACCATTACACTTCGATTTTATGCATTGGCAACCGAGCACGGTTTCGGTAACTATCCGTGATTAAATCAAGTTCGAATCTTGTGCGCTTCTTCCTACTTCTGACATATACGCTGACGTCGTATCGTGATTACGTATAAAAATCGGTGATGCAGAATAAAGCGATTCAAAGGTCAAGATCGTTTAAAAGTCGGGTATTGTATCTACTGCGTGTAAACGTTCGTCGGAATATGTCGAATAATATACGAATTCGGAGAAATATCGTTTCGAGCTTGTTCTCACTCAGTGTCCGGACTTTTCCTTTTAATTTTGCAAACGTGAAAGGAAGTGTCGAAGTCGCATATGAAAATTAAGAAGCGTTTACTTTGGAATCGGCTATGTTTGGGCAAGTTCTCTCGATTTTGCGCAAATATTTGTTTCCACCTCGATAATCTCGATATTTAAATCTTTGTTTACTATGACGTCATTGATTGCATCGTCGTGCATGCGTTTTGCCGACTTACGAAACAAGTGATAGAAAGATAAGGGTGATTCGTATTTGTAAACACGTTCTATACCGTCATACTATCAAAGAATCGTGGAATTGCCTTTTTCTCTTTTCCTCTATCAAAAATTATCCTTATCCCTGGCTTCGCACTTCTTCGTCTATTTTTCTCCCTCGCGATATCCAAAACTGCAATTGTTTTCTCTTCGTCGATGTTCTTTTGCGCAATCTGCTCGAAAGAATTTCGATTCCTCTGTTTCTTCTTTTTTTTTTTTGTTTCTTTCTGTTTGCATTTCACTTTTACGAATCATTATTCATCCACTTTCTCGTCTATGACTATGCATGACCGATATATACACAGCACTTCGCTTTGGTATGCATTAACCTGTTACTCTATGGTGTGCAACGCGAGCAAATCGATCACTTGTCCGATAGATCGTTACCCGAGAGAGAAAAACTATAATGCTTGACGCTTGATTTCCTCTTTCTTTTTCCTTTTCCTTCGTCCCTCTTTTTCTCTTTTCCACCCCACCCTTGCCACGTTCCTCGGATGCATAAAACCGAAGTGAAAATATCCGAGGGAAATTAAAAATAGGCATCGAGCGTAAAATTTCTACACAGGACGCTAACTTCTAGCTGCTCCTAATACACGTTCCTCGTAAAGCCATGCCAACTATCGGCTTGCTCGAAAATTGTAATTTGCTTGCCGACATAATATCTGTGTCGTGAACGGGTATCATTTCTGATCCTGTATTTTTCCAGTTTACGGCCTGTGTTTACGGCGAAACAACCGTGAGCAAACATTGACGGCGGAATCATAGCTACCGTAGCGTACGGGCGATCGTCAGTTGGTTAGACTCTCTAAATATTTATTATTATTTCCTACAGTGCGAAAAAATTGCAGAAATAAACACGGAAGATCGTCGTTATCCGTTACTCGTTTTACTTTGATTAACGCGGGAAATAATGGTTTTATATTCCATGGCCGGTCTATTTCCCGTTGAACTCCATGCACATGTCGCGTAATCGGAATGAAAATGCAAAACTGATGGATCCGTTATCGGCGAGCTATCGTGCAAGAATAGGTCAACGCCATTTATCCGACTCGTTTATGCGACCAGTGTTTACCATTACACTTCCACGGAATGTCCGCCGCAATTTCGCTCGAATCTCCCTTAACCCGATTCCGCTTCGCTTTGCCTAACTTTCGTTCGCTCGCGGATCCAAAGAGGTAGGGTACCTAGAATCTCCTTTGGCAACGAACCCGAAGATCCAGCGACCGCAGAAAGTTGCATGAAATCGGGACAATATTTTCAAAACCGTCCCGTTTGCGATTCCGATGAAAATCTATGTCGAGTTAAACAGACCCGAACAGAGAGCAGCATTAAGGTCGCGCTCATCCTGCGAGGAAGAAAACATACGTACACGATATACAAAGCGTATCGAAAAAATTGGGTTTTGAGTATTAGTTCCGTACACGAGAGTAAGAGAGAGAGAAAGAGAGAGAGCTTGCGTAAACAAGGATCGAGCACCTATTTATCGCAGGTCTTTGAACTCGTTGGAAAATGTCAAAATTATTAGCGTAACGAAGTGTTTTCCCATTTTCTACCAAAGTTGCGCGATTAAAATGGATTAGGCACGCGTGAAGACTACGCAGCTGACTCCTGACCTACTCGTGTGTTCTCATAAACGCCGCCATAAAGTAATTCATCCCATATTAATCGCACGTAAATACGTAATATACTAAGAAATGGTTTCGATAATATCTTGGAAGAGTAGCGAAAAGAAGATAAATTGGAATGTAAATGAGATAAGACTAATGAAATTCCGTTTCGATAGATACAGGTCTGAGGATTGGCCTGGGTTTATACGAACCCTGTTTCGCGTTTCGACGCTTGCATTGGGCATGGAGCGATCGCTAAGTCTATTCGACACGCCTCGTATGACGAAGATTCAATGGATGATACATCTCGCTCGTAAATCTAGAAACGAGATCGGTACAATTACGTCTATTATTATATGCGGTGCGTTCGGGTCGGGTTATTCCTGGACGCCGTCGTCGGAGCGGATCTCCGCGAGCGGATTCATTAATTGCCGTACGCGGCGCGGAATATCGGGCCGTATACGCGGTGCTGTCGCGATACAAGGTAACACACCGCAGCCGTCACCCAGGTTTCACCGGTATTCACCGATTGTGGGATACTGCCAACTCGCGGACTCTCCGCCGCTGCTCTGACCGCTGCTCATCGGCTGGCCACCACCACACACAGCGGGATATTTCTAGTCGGCTGGCATGTCCGAGTTAGTGCTCGATCGTGTGCGCACCGAGCACCTGTGCGTGTCGGCGCTGCCTCGTTTTCCCGTCCGTCTCGTGGGCCCGAGTCCCTTTTAGTCCAAGTGCACGAGGGAAGAGAACGAAAGCCCTCCGCCCTGCTGTTGTGTGTCGAATGTGAGCGAGAAGAGGAAGATGAGCGAGAGGAGAAAGATACCGTCGGGCAGGAAACGGCACGAACAGGAGCAGCAGGCGAGCAAGTCGAAAGAACCGCTCAGGCCCAAAGAACCGATCAGGCCGCCGAGGACGAGGACGCAACAGGCTCGCGACAATGGAGCTATCGATCGACGCGAGCATCGCGGTGCGCCGTGTACCAGCGTTGAAACCTGCTTAAGTAGCAGACCGAGCGCTGGTTTAGGTTTAATCGTATTCGAAAGTTTGATTGCCGCCGGGGATTGGTATTTCATTCGAGATTTCGGGCCAGCGATGGCGCCGACCACGAAATCGTAGATCGGGGACCGAGATGCGGGATTTAATTGCGAAACGAAGAAACCAGCTCGAAACGCGGCTCCGCGAGCGCAGTTTGGACGAGATCGGGGCTAGAAGTTTGCTCGTTGAAAAGGGAATTGGCTTGCTGTCAAAAGCTCGGCGACGCAACAGGCCCGCGATAATGGAGGCGTTGATCGGAATGATGGTGGATCTGAAAATACGCGAAACGTGGTGACTGGTCCGGGTGTACGAGCAGAGAGTTTCGGGGATCGGAGCGGGGAGGGTAGACTTGTCGATATTTTCGATAACCACGGATTTCGCATTGCGTTTTCCGCGCGAAACGTCCGGTCGATCATGGAATCGAGCAAAGTTCGAATCCTGTGCGGTCGGAGGCTGGTGCCCCTCGTGTCGCGATGAGAAAATAGTCGTTGAAAACGGCCATCCGAAAATACGACTAATACGAGAAACGAGCTTTCGAGAGCGACTAGAATTTAGTTTTAATCGAATGTGAAGGTTCGGTCATGAGATTGGCGCGTTTCCAGAGGCTCGAGAACGCAACAGATTCGCGACAATGAAACCGCCTACCGGAATTTAAACCTTCGAAGTTCATTGTTGTAGTACTGGACGAAAGTTTAAGAGTAGAAATTTCGGAAAGAGAAAGTGACTTTTTAAGAATGCCGCGTTGCTTTCCCACGATTTATTGCTCGAATCGTCCATCGAATCTCGCGATTCTTATCTCACTGTCGTTACACCGTCTCGGTCTACTATTTAGGTATATATCCGCAGGATAAATGGGCTATCAAAAATTTTGCTTTCAGCCAAGAAAGTACCGATGACGACCCTCGACGAGAATGTGAACCGTGTTCCACGGGTGTACCCAAGCGAAAGAGAAGAACGAGGTGAGTTTCTTTCTTTAATTTATTCCTTAGTATGTCTTTCGTTATTTACTCGTCGAGTTGTAATCGTAACCGATGGTCGCACCTTTAAAGCACCCTGTACTCTTTCCAACACCTTTCGTATTCAGGTAGAATAAACTTCTCGATGGAATTTTCATTTCGATCAACGCGTCACACTGCGACATTTAATCCCGACGAAAAAAAAATAATTGCATTGGATTTTTTTAGAATTCACGAATTCGACGAAAATTTTACTTCCATGGACCACCATGGGTGACCATTGCTGATCAACGTAACTCGCGTAGCACCGGAACGTATTGTCTGGATGTAACGCTAAATTTATCAAGGATTTTCTGCATAACGTTACCTAAGAACGTGGAATAATTATTCGAGAATTAATAGTCTGTTCGATATAATTATGTTCTTGTACGTTTCACGAGAAGTCTAGTCTCATGCAAAAAGCAGTGTGACGTTAGATACATAAATATGAAACGTGTAAAGAAAATTATAATACGCGGTAGTATTCGTGCGTTCACTACGTAAGCACAAGCTTCAATTATTTTCGTACCTTTAATAACGCCTATAGATTTGCTTTATCATACCGATTGTGCAGCCTCTACCTGTCTTTACACGTTCGCACGGCCATTGTAGAAAATCAAACTTACCGATACAGGCTATCTCTCTAATTATCACTTTCTAATTATTTTCACCATGTTCCAATTTGCATAATATATATATGTGCTGTATCATTTATGCGTTCATTCGCGTATTATAAGCCACGAGAACGTGCAATACGCATTAAAACAGGAAAAAACAATTCAGATAATTGTAGATTCCATGATCGTTCGTTTTCGTCTTAAAAGAGATCTCGCTTAGCCGAGTATTAGCTACTTTTCCACCAGATGTTCGACGTTTATTTCAGTATACAGTTGCACACTTGAACTCGAAGTTGTGCAAGCTTAAAAATTCCAAAGCTTTTCTTTTCTGCTTGGTAATGAATTTTTATGCCGCTCTTTCCATTTCTATTCGCATGATCAAGTACTATTTTATCCGAGGTGACTCATTAATTCTGCCAACATCGACTATGTCATCTAGACGTTAGGAAAAATTGCGAGAATACGTAATATCGGCAAAATGATTTTACTTTACCGATCGAAAGTGCAAAGGAAGTCTAAAGGTTAATCTTTCTTTTTTCATTTTAAATACAATAACACTGTTTTGCGATATCTTCCCACGATATGATAATGAATATTGAAGAAAAAGAGCGTTTTAAAAAAGTAGCGTCTAGGTAATCTGCATCCAACTTGGTATTCACGATGGTTACCGTCCGAACCCGGCGTTCCCGACAAACAAAGTCGTCGCATAGGGAACTCGTGATTACAAATATCTCTCGAATTTTTTGAAAGAACATTACGTAGGTGGGTTACATAAAAACGTAGGAAAGAACGGCGATTTACGTCAGAACGGGTGCTGCAAATTTGACTTCAAATTTTGGCACGATGTACGAAAGTCCACGTACAGATGAACATTTTCACTAGGCCAATTGCATTAGTCAACATCTCGTTTTCAGGATTTCCTTCTTCTTTTCGAGTCTACCAGAGGCTGCCGAGGCGCGTCTGTTAATTAAATTCTCGTATTTCGTTTTTCCCGCCACGTCGGCCGAGTCTCCCGTTCCAGATGAGAAACGCGACGCGCCCTGTATTCGCGAGTTTAATGCGGTAATGATTCGTGTAAATACGAGATTGCAAGGCACCGATGCGGCTGTGGATGGCAGTCGTCGGCGCCGCGTATTTCTCTCGCGTCGACGACGAAGACGCTGACAACGACGAACGACGACGACGACGAACGACGTCGACGATGACGAGGAACTAGCGTTAAAGCGGAAGACGGCGCGGGCCGAGGAGCGGAATTAGCGCTCGCGCGAGTATAATTGGCCGTTCGTTCGCAATAAGTAATCGCTCGAGGCTCCTTCGGAGACGTTCACGTAAAATTGAAACTGCTCGGGCCCGTGCGAGCTGCTTTTCGGATTCGTCTCTGCTTTTGGTCCGCTACCCGTTTCCAAGCTCTCGGCTTTCAACGAAATTGTTTTCTTTGTGTTCTAAATTGCCGCCACGTTGCCGCGCTCCGCTAGGGACTCGAGTACTTGACTAATTACGAAAATGAAATTATCAACGGCGATTGCTAATGACCGATTTTTTGAAAAATAAAAATTTTTTGTTTTTTCTAATTAGGGAGAATCGAATGACAATTTTTCATCAGTTTAATCTGTCAATTAGAGATTAGTTTACTATAATTGGACCTGCGTGACGAATAAATTAAATTTAATGATTTTAATTTCTCTAACCTCTTTGAAGAGCTCGATTAGCAAGAAAATTTGTTAATTATTTATTTTCTTGAGAAACTACTGAAAAATTCATCTGCATATTAACGGAGTAAAGTTTAAATCGTAATCTGTGACTTAGAACGTCACGACTGGGTCATATAAACAGTTGGCTTTAAAAAGAAGACTCGATCGACCGATTTTCCATAATAGAGACTTTATTATATTACGAGGGAATATAAATAGCTGTTAATGCCTGGCAAACCGAGTTCGATTTGACAGCGGGGCAGGAAAAAGACGGCACTCTTGTACTTTTGGCCTGAGCTGTACGCTGTTGAAGAATAGTCGCCCGATCGCGAGAGGACAGACCAAACTGTCAAAGTGTAAAGCATGTTTCTGAATAACAGGTTTGCGGTCGAGGTGCTAAACTGGAATTCGCGTGGTCGTTTCGCGCCAATGTAAACGTGCACATAGTTGTTCATCAATTATAAAAACAGCCTGGAAATCGAGTCGTGAGAATTTCCACGTACCACGCGTGCAGTCACGTACCATGGAAACTATGCTTGAAAACGAAAGTGTACGGGACTCCTGAAGCCTAGGAGCCGTGTAACAGTTTCCATTTCACGCGTTATGGTAATCTCCGGCGGGTGACGTCCCGAGTACTACACCATGGATGTAATTCTTTCCACGATGAGTTACTCGCTTGGTCGTTTCATCGGTGCATCCAACGCTTATCACGGTAGCAGCGCACGGTTCCGTTTCACCTGGGAAGCCAACAATGAAGATCGACCGGTAGCAATCGATAATTCACTATCGATAAACGATAAAATAACGCGTAATTACCTTATCTGATCCAGGTCGATCGTCATCCACGATTTCGGTATCGTCTATATCTGCAAATCTCTCGTGTCGTTTCGTTCCACGACCGCATAAGTTTCGTGTCATTACAAGTTAAATCGAGTCACGTGGCATAAGCAACGTATTGTTCTTGTATATGTGTATACATCGATAGTTAGCTTTCGTTTTCTTGCCACGTGCAGTAGATCATACTACGCGTTAGTTCGTGTACCTGAGCGGTGTCAGTTATGTCAAGGCCTCCAGGCGTCACGCTTCTCGCCATCTGTAGTCAGTGCTAAGGATTTTGGTCGCTCAAGGTCGTCGGGTTATACGTTCCCCCACTCCGCGCGTTTCCTTTGCTCCACTTTACCTGGAAGGACTCTAAGTAACGAGGGTCCGTGCGAAAGGAAAATTCTGGGACAAGGATAAGGTATCGAAAAATTGTTTAGACCGGAAGCGATCGGGAGCAAGCTCGTATCTTGACGAATCGTTGACTTTTCACTCGAGAAAGAACGCGTTTATTGTAAGAACATGAAATTTGACGAAGGTGCAAGAATAAACATATTCTCTCTGCTTGGAACGCGATTATCCGGCGAATCTGTGCGAATACCATGTCGAAGGTAAACTAAAATTGGCAAAAATAAAAGCATCGTTCTATGTGTGAAAATTTTTAAGCAAAAGGAAAAACGTCGCGTTACGGTATGTCATCGTGACAAGTAATTGTAAGCAGCGTCTATTAGCGATAATTTTTTCTATCTCTGTTAATTCAGAAACGATGTGTAATTAAATGAATATGTTTTTTCAATTATGGACTTCACTAGAGGAATTGGTGGGTTGGCCAGAAAGAATAGAACGTCTCTCGATGAATAGTCAGGATAATGCCTCGGACTTAGGACATCCCGTACAAATTGTACTTGCTCAGCCAGATCACACTTTTGAATTAAACGAAGAAGCCTTGGAGAAAATTCTTCTTGAAGATGATATTAAGAATAGGAGCGTAGTTGTTGTGTCAGTAGCAGGTGCTTTCAGAAAAGGCAAAAGTTTCCTGCTTGACTTTTTCTTACGATACATGAACAGTAAGGTATGTTACTCGTAAATGTGAAATACCGAATTGGTATTAATTGTAGTATTTAATTAATGATCAACGTATTCGTTACATATGAATAAATTAAACTGTAATTATTTTTCTTTTTCTTTCATGCCTACACGGAACATTGGTTGTTACGCATTCAACACGGATAACAGTATAGTAACAATAATCACACGGATTCCTGGTTGGGTAAAGAAGATGAACCTTTGAGTGGATTTTCGTGGAAAGGAGGTTCCGAGAGAGACACTACAGGCATATTAATGTGGTCAAAAGTTTTCCGCGGTACTTTGGAGGACGGAGAAAAAGTTGCTGTGATTTTAATGGATACACAAGGTGCTTTCGATAGTCAGTCCACGGTGAAGGATTGTGCGACTGTATTTGCTCTAAGTACAATGCTGTCATCTGTACAAATTTATAATCTGTCACAAAATATCCAAGAGGATGATCTTCAGCACTTGCAACTTTTTACGGAATACGGTAGACTAGCGTTACAAAACTCCGGAAGCAAACCTTTCCAAAAATTACAATTCTTGATACGAGATTGGAGTTACCCTTACGAAGCCAAGTATGGTGCAGAAGGTGGATTAGAGATATTAAACAGAAGGCTAGAAATATCTGATAAACAACATCCAGAATTACAAAGTCTAAGAAAGCATATTAAATCTTGCTTCTCGGATATATCTTGTTTCCTCATGCCACACCCAGGCCTAAATATTGCCACTAATCCTCATTTCGATGGTAGATTATCGGAAATTCAACCAGAATTTAAGGAACAACTTAAGGTGCTGATATCGATGCTATTAGCTCCAGAAAATTTAGTTACAAAAAAAATTAATGGCCAAATTGTGAAAGCAAGAGATTTGCTAGAATATTTTAAGAGTTATATGAAAATTTACAAGGGAAACGAGCTTCCTGAACCAAAAAGTATGTTAGTGGTAAGTTTTCGCTCGTGCTTTAATAGCCATATGTCTAACCACTGAATTTATTGTATACTTATATTTTTCATTTTTAGGCAACTGCAGAGGCAAATAACTTAGCTGCGGTAACAGAAGCTAGAGAATTTTATATGCGATTAATGGAAGATATTTGTGGAGCAAAAACACCATATTTAAGAACAGCACTATTAGAGAACGAACATGCACGCTGTATGGATAAAGCTATGTGCATATTTCAGAATAAAAGGAAAATGGGAGGAGATGAATTTAGTCAAACCTATATGAAAAAATTATGGCAGGCAAGAGACTATTGGAATTCTATTTATTTATTACGCTTGATACTATAAATATTAATGTATTATTTATTATAGGATATGGATAAAGCTTTTCTTCAGTTTAAAAAACAAAATGAAAGTAAACATGTTTTCAAATCCGCACGAACCTTCGGAATATATTCCTCGATTGTTGTCATTATGTACTTTTTGTCTTCAGTATTTGGTTTTACTGGATTATACCTACTATCAAATATTTGTAACTTCGTTGTGTGCATCTGTATGTTAACCATAATGTTATTGGCATATATTAGGTATATAACATTATTTACAATAACTTTTTTTAATTTTCACGTAATTACAATTATTATTCTATCATTATAGGTACAGTGGTAGTTACGACACAATTGAAATAGTAATACATGAAGTGGCTAATACTTTATGGAATAATGTAAGTAATGTATATTTACTGATCTATATATAAACCCAGATATTTGAATTCCTTCAGAGTGAGCTTTTCATTTAATATTAATAACAAATATCCGTAAACTCTCAACAGCTATAAAATCAATAAACATTTAATTTATTTGTCAATAAAACTAATTACGTGTGTTAAAATGATGAGAAGTAATTTATATGTTTATGAGTTGTTCCAATTAGTATTCAATTTTGCTTCAATGTATAATGCACACATTTACTCGTCCATATCACATAGTTAATTCGAATAGAAATTTATTTTATAATTTCACTATGCAAAGTCTGTGTATCGATATACCAACAAAAACCTCGTGTATTTAAGATGTTACATAAAGTACGAAGCACGCTAAAGATATAGACATTCCCTTTTATGATAGTAATTTATGTAGCATAAAAAATTAATCGGTGATGTAAATAATTGCTGCTCATCGTTTCATCATATTTCCTTATTCATACCTTCCACATATGATTTCTACAGGTCCAACATATGGCTGGACTATTCGCTGTACTTACACTTGCTGAGGCTGCTGCTCCATCATCGTTTAGAATGTTACGTGATATCATTTTTCCACTTGATCCACTTCCCTCTTCGCCTTTTGCATCCCCTGTTCATTTTAGTTTTCAAAATATAACTTATTTTAAAGAATATCAATATTTTATATCAAATGTATGCCTTTCTACAAACTCCTTTTTACAACACTACATCTATAATATTTATACAGACTATTTATATTATAGCAGAAACTTCATTTTCGATAGTATCTCTAAATTATATGATTCTTGTTTAGATTACTATTGCCTCCATTTCTGCAAATATTTCCATTATTTAACAAATATTTCTAGTGATCTCATTTCTAAATTTTATGATTTTCTTTTCAATTAGTATTCCCCTCTTCTTTCCGAATATTTGCAGTGCATTATAAATACACTTTCAATAGTATTTCTGAATTATATGATTTTTCATTAGATGACTACTTCCTTCCATTTCTACAAATGTTTCCATTATTTATCAAACATCACTTCTGATCCTACTTCTAAATTATGTGATTCTTATTTAAACTACTATTCCTTTCTCTTTCCAGAATATTTACAATTTTTATATTTTTGTGAATATTTCCATTATGTACCAAACATCATTTCTGATCATATTTGTAAACTATGTAATTCTTATTTAAATCATTAATTTCCTTATTTTTCTTTTTTAGTAATTCCTGTTTAAGGTATTATTTTTCTTCTTTCATAAAATATTTGCAGTATCTTACAAACTATGACAGTATTTTTGAATTCTTCCTTAATTTACTACTTGAGATATAATTCTTCTTTAAATACTTTGAATACTACTTGATAAATGATTTTTCTTTAAATTACTATTTTGCACTATTTTTCAAATATTTACAGTGCCTATTAATTATGCTTGATATACCGCTGAATTAAATAATCAGAATTTAAATTATTTTTTCCTTTTCTTAAAATATTTACATAACGAATATTATTTTTGATAACACTTCCAAATTATATAATTACTGTTTAGATTACTGTCAATCATTTTGGATGTAATTAAAACAATACTTATACATTGTTTCTTACATATGTATATTCGTTACTTTTAATATTAAATTTTTTACTTACAATAATTCAGCCTTTAATATTATGTTACTATTTTTTTTCCTTCTTAATGTAAGCTGAATACAAACAGGAGCAAATGTACAAAAGGTATGGGGTTTGCTTATAATTAATGTAGAACTAAAAATAACTTTCATTCCATATATTTCAGTTTTGAAAAAAATGTGGTTGTTCTTTTATACATGATTCGCATATTTTTATGATAAACATAAAGACAATATCATTTTACTTATAGTTAAATAATAATTTTTATCATTCTGTTATCATTTGATTTATCATCATGCTATTTTATACCTATAAGATAGAGTATATGTGAATATCAGTAACATTTTTATATTTACATTAATATGTATAAATATATTAAAAAATGTTTACTTTTTGTTTCTGTTCAGTTAATTAAACCAGTCTATCGACAATTTGTGGAGAAGTCAGTGTCTGTAGCAGTGGCTCAAGCTGCTGAAATGGCTACAAATACAACAATGAATGCCACTGTCACTGCCAATGGCAAGCCTAAACTAACATGATGTTCATTCCCTTTGTGTCCCAATCTCTCAAGTGTATTAGAAGCATACATCAATGTATTAAAACCAGTAAGTGATATAACAAAATTTCATTGTTTTGACCATGTAATATGAGGCCATAAATAGTTTTCTGTTTGTTAAGTCACATGGAGGGACAGCGTGTTGAATATATTAATTTAAAGTGACTGTGAATGTATATACAATATATTTTGATTATAATTCCTTTCTAGATTGTTGAAAATCATTATTATTAGTATTGTCTATGATCGCTGATATTATATTGTTAGAAAAATAAAATTCCATAATTACTGGTAAAGAATATAATTTGGGTAGAAGCTATTGTTTTGGGGTTGTTAATGTTTTATAATCAACTTTAACTTCTTTTATATTAAAAAAGAAATACACACACGCACACATGCTGCATACATACATACATACATACAAATATATACACATAAGAAGCAAAGTGTAAACAAGTTTTTAGATACATGTACTTCCATATTTTTTAATGATATTGAGTTCATATTTAATTCTTTAGTTAGGAGATTATACTTAAGTGCATTTCGACGTCACAAAAAGGAACATATTAACATAATTTTAAAACAAAATTTAAATAACACGCACTTTGTACATTTATGCATTATTTTATGTATATGACTTAACATGCTTAAATTATATCTGTGCCAGATCTACTCTACATCAGTTACTATAATATTGGTTAATTTTTTTAATACACAGAAATGTAAATATTGCTCAGTGTTCATCATACTGAATGAATTTTAAATACAATTCATAATGTACTTAATTACAATGGATTAAATATACACATATGCCATGTAGTTTATATTTTTACTAGACTTAGCATTAAATAACTCAACCTTAGCAATTTAGCATGTAAGGAATATTAATAATTTGCGGAACATTTACGGAATATAAATTATGTACTAACAAATTTATGAAGGATTGTAAATATAATGATAGTTTTATCTCTTTCTTTATTCTAAGAGTAAGATTTTTATCATAACAAAAACGAAGAAAGTTTATGAATTTTTATATTTCAGGCTTGTTTCTATCATACTTTATTGCATGTTTTAATATAATATATAAACAATCTATATATATTCTCTTATAATACAAAAAAGGAAAGATTGCAAAGGTTTTATATTTTAATATAAAACTATGTGAACAACATAATATTATGGTGATGGTCTTGATAAGATATTGATTCGTTAATAATCAATTCTATTTTAATAAAAAATTATTTTTTCTTATGCATTTTATATATACATATATTTTCGTATATTTAATAAGTGTATATAATAACAATTAGTCTCGTGATTAGGGATTTCTAACTTCATTCAAGTTATGAAAACAACTGTTACTTTACTGTTAAATTTTAAAATAATATTCATATGGTTCTACTTCTTATTTTCCGAAACAGATATAAGTTTAATAACTATATTTAATTAAATATAAACAGCAATATAAACAGTAATTTTATTTATTCATATATTTTGATAGTGAAAATACATCATAATAAAAGTGCCACTATATACATTTAAAACTATTTATTATATCTTTATATCTTGTTAAATTATAGGAAAAAATTTGTTACTTCAGTTATTTAATATCCTTGTCTAAGTATTTAAATTAATTATACAATATAATTATAACTGCAGAAAATAATGTGTGTTCTTGATACATTGTCTATTTCTATTACTACTTACATACAATTGTTAAATTATAAAATACAAAAAAAGAAATAAAAAAACATGTAAGAATAATTTTTTTAATTTGATTTTAATTTAGTGTTGATATATTTGTTAATATGGTGTGTAAATTTATTATAAAATAGTGTCAATAGAAATATCTATTACTAAAGTATGTAGTTGTTTAATAGTATGATTTATTATTATATATAAGTACGAATACATATTTTAAACTGCTTCAGTAACAATGTTATAAATGAACAATAATATGGCTATATATAATTACAAACTTTCATGTAACAAATTTTTTTATTGTAACTTTACAATAATAAACTATTTGTAAATTATTGTGGATAAAAATAAACGCTTATTTTTTTACTTACAAGAGTAAGACTTGCTTTTTATTTTTTCCTTGTAGGTAATTTAAAAATACTATTTTAGGTTTTAAACATTCTTTTTACCATCTCTTCAAACCTCTTGTTTGCTTCTTGCCATTTTTTATTGTATATTAAAAATTGCTCTTTTATTATCTGATTATGTGGTTCTAAATTAGTAGCATTTTTTAGATCAGCAACAGCATTATCCAAATCCCTCAAATTTCCATGTGCCATTCCTCTTCTATATAATGCTTTAACATTATTCCCTTCTTTGTTTAAAACTTTAGTACATAAAGATATTGTATGTTCATAATTTTTACAATTTAATTGACATCCAGCCATATTGTTATACAAAACAAGTCTTAAGTTATTAATTTTACTTTCTAACTTTGTATCTAATTCCAAATCTGGTATTGGTTCTAACGTTATGAGAATTTTACAAGCTTTACTAAATCTGTAAAATCCATCTACAAATCTATTTTCTTTAAACAGACTTACACCAGTTTCTTTATATTTCAAGGCTGTCAAATACTTATTCTCTGGTGTCCATTCCCAAATTGGCTTAAAAGGTTGAACTTCTATTAGTGATATTTCAAACTTAATAACTAAATGATCATCAATCTCTTTTAGAAATATACTTATTGTAACCAAACTTTTTTCAGAAACCATCATCATTTTAATTGCTCGTTCAATTTGCCGATCTATTTCACAGTTTGCTTCGCCTATAATTAATGTTTTTCTATCTATACCATTTAAAATTTCCGAATTAAATTTTGTTTTCAAATCCTGTACAGACGCGTTGATGACATCTATATCTTCAATAATAACTTCACAAGTGGCACATTCAGTTGGTTTTTTAGAAAAAGAACCAGGGTTCATTATTTCTTTTTGCACAACATTATCTACTGATTTCCACGTTTGAAGTAACATTTTCTTATTTTACTGAATTTTACCTGTACAAAGTAACATAAATTAATATATCAGTCAAATTCAATCTAATAACGTCAATTTATCAACAAATGTAATCTATATAATATATTTTACACTGTGAAGTATATTTATAAACGTACGTACTTCGTTACTTATAAATAATATGTGTCAACAACAATAGTTATTGCAAATTCACTGCTTTAAATCTTCACCTAACCTTTACGAAATACCAACTGCGAATTTCTATAATCTAGGTTTTTTAAAGCGCATACGCAACGTTACGTTTGTATTAATTTCAAATCTAATAATTAAAGAAAATAATTTAATAAACAAAGAAAAATAATTTTATTAAATACTTAATTGAAAATATATAGTTTCGATGATAAATATCGAAAATGTGCAATTCATAATTACAGAATATTTAAATGTTATTTATATTTGACATAATTTTGCTTCCTTTCATAGTATATATTTTATATCTTTTTGTATAATATATTTATTACAGGATACAAAAAAAAAAGAAACAGTTTTGGCAGCTTTAATAAAAATATCTTGTATTTACATCAATTTAAACATAATTTAATTTAGTCCACTTCTCACTAACTAACCATAGCCACTTTGCAATTTCTTGATTGTTTGCTTCATCCGAAACATTCGATATTTTATTATCACTATAACGAAAATATGCAGTATTAAATATATAGATTTTTTTTTTTTTTCTTTTTTTTTCTTAAATTAGGTATACAAGGCTTACGCAATATAGGCCCCTGTCACATCATTTAAAGATGGGTCCATTATAGTAAATAAAACAGGCTGAGCACCCTTTATGGGTGGCTTCATGAAAAACCAAGTGAATGTATTCACAAAGAATCTACCTAAAACGTGTTGATAAATTTTCATATATCGCGTTATTTCTGTTCGTACTATACCAGGATGAACTGCATTTACAGTAACACCAGTTCCTAAATATTATAAATGAAAATAATACATTAATGATTGTATCATCTATTTATGAATAGAAATTTTATTTTATACCAAATGACTGTACCATTTAATTTCTTTGCTAATTCTTTTGTAAATAAAACAATAGCTAATTTACTTTGTGCATACGCTTCACCAGGCTCATAATCTTTGTCATTATTTAAGTCTTTCAATTTAATTTTGCCACGTTTATGTGCATTACTTGAAACATTTATGATCCTTGATGGTGCAGAATTTTTTAAAGTATCTAATAATAAATTTGTTAGCAAAAAGTGTCCCATATGGTTCACACCTAACTGCATTTCAATTCCTTCTTCTGTATAAATCTTAGGACATCTCATTATTCCTGCATTATTTACAAGAACATGGAGTTTATCATGCTCTGAAATTAAAATAAATAGTACATATTATATTATAAGGCTATTGATTGATACATAATTTTATTAGGTTAAAAAGTATTTTTGTATGGATGTAATACAAAAAATAAGTAAATTGAATATATCTAATATATCTAACTCTAATAAAACGTATTACATACCTTCTTTAAATTGCTTTACAAAATTCCTAATACTTGTTTGAGAGGCAAGATCACATTTTCTGCAATAAACATATTTGTTCATACTTTCTAATACTATCTCAGTACGTGCCTAAAATAATAAAATTATGAATTTGATATTTTATTAGCATTATTTTGAATATCATATAAAATACTAAAATGTTAGTATTATGTGAGTTTTATTTTATTTTTAATGAAATATTAATATATTAAAAATAACAGTACATTTTCACATCTATCCATATCTTTACAAGCCATTATAACTTTAGCTTCTCGTTTGGCTAAGTCACGAACTACTTCTTTACCAATTCCAGTATTTGCTCCTGTTACGATTACTATTTTGTCAGTCATTTTTTCAGTATTCTTATAGAAATCACCACTAATATAATCTCTGCAAAATAAGAAGATTGAAAGAGTTAGTGAAATAAAATGTAATTCCATGTTTAGGTATAGTCATTTAGACATTATTTTGAATTGTTAATATGAAAAAGATGAGGGATTAAATAATAGTATATTAGAATATTAGTTTACAATATTGTATTAAAAAATTCAAAATACACAAAAATAATATTTTATTTCAGAAAATACGTTACTTTAGTAAGTAAGCTCCACCAACAACAGTAATAGCTGCTGAATAATAATAATAAGGTTTTGCAATAGATGAAAACATTTTTGTGAATGCAATAAAATTTTACCCACAATTAACAATAATCTGTTTTATATGATTAATATAGATCAATAAATATTATATTATTTTCTTCTTTACTTAAGTTTTTCTTATATTTTATTATTAACCTCTATCATACCACGCTCCACACACGCGCAACTCAATAGAAACACTAAGCTATCTTTAAAATAATTTGATAGTGTACTTATTGTACCATAGACTATTTAAAATAATCCAAATATGTATAGAAAATTTTTCAAATTCTTTTCCAATATTTTTTAATGCTATTGATATTACATAATAAGGAAGTGTAAAAATTGAACATTGCAATATTTAAAATAGTGCAAATATAGTTATTACAAATTCAAAAGAGTATAACAATATAAAATTGTAAATTTATATAATTAATCATATTAAATATAGCAATATACATTTTGTTATAACTCGGATCGAGAGTATCGAATTTTCTATATCGATATCCGTCAATATATGTGTTGATAGGTTCTGTTTATAGTATTGAGTACATCTGTTTTATTTTCGTCTGACGTGGAACTTTTGAATTTTCCTGTCAAAATTGCGTTTTAATAAAATTTAAATATATTATATATTGTGAAAACTTTTTATTTTATTCTGTAGATATCATAATTTAATATGTTACTGCGGAAAGTATTATTTATTATCGGGAATACAAAAATATTGCAAAGAACATTTGTTCATAGAAGTTTTCAATTTTTACGAAAGGTTTGAATTTATATCTAAGCTCAATTTTATTTTTCATTAATTTCCTACTATTGCATAACACTTTTAAAGCTTATTGTAAAGTACATCTATGTTTAATCAGTATTATTTCTAACTTGATAATCAGACAATTGTATATAAATTGTAAGTGTAAAATTAATCTTAATTTTCTGTAAATTTTAATATATCATATAAAAGCATTTAATTAGTTCTTATTATTAGAGAAACAATCAATGTACATTAACCTCAGAATTATGTACTATATCTCCATTTGTTGCAATGGGCATTTGGAGTCTTAAGACAAACAAAGGTGATAGTGAAACAGTTATAACCACAAAAGAAGTTGTAATAGCAAAAGCAGATGCATTATATGATCAGGAACAATATCAGGATATATATAAGCTCTTAATAAATTTCAAAGTAATTATACTTTTATATTATAATAGTAATTATATTTTTATACAAATAGGCTTATGTTTACATTCATTGAACTATAATTTTTATAGGATAGTGGAGATGTTGAAATTATATGGCGCTTATGCAGAGCAATGTATAAAATGTCTAAGATAACCAATGAAGTAGATGGAAGGAAACTAATATTTGAAGCCTATGATTTAATACTTGATGCTCTTAAAATAAAAGAGGATCATTGGGCTGCACACAAATGGGCATCAATTCTTCTTAATTCTAAGACTCTTTACGAAGGTGTAAAGTCCCAAATAAGAGAATCATATAATATTAAAATGCATATGCTGGTATATTCTGTATTTTCTATTTTATATATATCCAAATATTTTATTTAATATTATGTAATATAGTAAGCACATGTCTATTATTGCAGAGAGCAGTAGAACTGAATCCAAATGAACCAATGCTTATGTATATGCTAGGTTCTTGGTGCTATCAAATTGCTGATTTGACATGGTATCAAAGAAAAATTGCTTTAATAATATTTGGAGAACCACTATCCTCATCGTTTGAAGAAGCCTTAAAATATTTTATAAATGCAGAAAAAATTGATCCCAATTTCTATAGTCATAATTTGTTGATGTTAGGGAAAACCTATTTGAAATTAAATCACAAAGAGCAAGCTTTAAAATATTTAAAAATGACCGTTGAATATCCTGTAAAAAACGAAGATGATCGCAATGCTAAACAAGAAGCAAAACAATTATTGAAACAATTTTAACAAATATTAAATATCATATACCATTATAAAATATATCAACACATGAACGATTTAAAATATTTCAGTTGTAGGGGTAAGATAAATTTAAGATCTAGCTTTCAAATGGAGAATAATAATGATTTATTCAGAACAAAATACAATACAATATATTTATGACAATTTTTTATTAATGTGTTCTAAATCGACACATACATACATGCATATTATAAGATATATAAATATATCTGTTAAAAGATTTAAGACTGTGAATACGTATACTTTATATAATGTTTTGTATTTAATAGTTTACATATGTATGTTATAATAAGTTATAAAATATATTTCGTATATTTATAAAATGCTTATACTTTTTAATACTGTGATTTGAAAGCACTTATTGAATGTCTTATTTGTTAAAGAAAAATTTCACGTACCTAACATTGTCCTTTAATATTAACTAGTAAACGAATAAAATAACTTAATCGATATTGTTTATAATATAATCGGCCTTCGAAACAGTATTTATATCAATTTCAATTGCAGAAAATAATTTTGAAGCTGAATAAATTTATCTGTCGATGTCTTCTTCTTGATCGTTATTCATTTGCATTGTCTCGCGTTCCTTGCGATTTCCGTATCGAAGAATTCTCGCTTGAAATTGCATTTCCTCCAGCCTTTGGAGATATAGCTGTGATCGCATGTTCTGTGTTATTAGTTGACTTCTTGCCATTTGATTTAATATAACGTTTCGATGAATGGTAAAATACGTTCTGTATGTACCGCAAGGGCAAATGCAGTTGAGTAAAACGTGGTTTGGCGGCAATGATAACATAGGTGCTGGTACGACACGAAAATTGGTACAGCTATGTGAGCAAAAGTTTTGTGGAGCCATTACTGATATTCTAGAATAATAAAGGATCTGGAATAAAAAAACGTAAAATAAAATTAAAAATAAAAATATTTATAACTATTATCACAATGCATAATAATTATATTATTAAAAACAGTAATCATGTATTATTATAATTTCTAATTTTTCTTCAATGACAATTTGTTTAAAGTGATAAGTGATAAAAAGTAGCTATACGAATAATTATAATAAATGAACTTTATATTCATTTTGCAATACGAGATTTTACTCCTAACAAAAAAGGATAAAGTAATTAAACGTATAATGTCATGAAATATCAAGTTGTTAACAATAAATAGGAGCGTACTCACCGTTTTAAATATAACCAAGATGTCCGTTATATAGAGGCACGCAGTTCGAAACGCGCTGCTTCGTGTTTATATCGAAAATAATATTTTCATCTAGTTCGCAATCTTATATAGTCACCGAGCCTGTCTTGTCGACAGTATTGACGTGTCAATCATTCTCAATGTTTGACACATCATGTATTGTTTGCTTACCTGTGCCACGTCCCCTAAGAACCATGGCACCCTTCCTATCACAAAAGTGCATGGGCCCAAGTACCTGAATTACTTTTGTCCTTATTAATCTGTTTGTCTCAGAAAATATTATTGACACAGAGGTCAGTTTACGTGACATTCATCACGTATTCCATTGTAACTCTTATCCTAAATGTGAATAATACCAGAACACAAAAGGGAATGAATAATAACGACGAAGATCGAGAAAAATGCGATTCCACTTTATTAGTCGTCGAGTAGAAAGCGAATACACTGCTTGCCTTTATAATTTACGCTCTGTAATAAATAATAATTTACGTGTTACTTCTAAGCCTGCAATACCACTGGGCTATTAGAACAGTAATCGTCTCGAGCGGTTATATTAATACGTGTATTACAGTACATTGATAGGAGTTCGTTAATATTACAACTATATTATTGCTATTCGAAGTATATCGTCTAGATGTATTCGAGCAAATGATATACTTTTTACAGCGAATGATATATTTTATACGTCGAATGATACATTGCTCGTTGTTTTATTATCATTTATCGTGTTACAACTATTTTCCTTAATTATAGTTGTCACGTTAAGTACAGTAAGTACAGTAGAAATACTTAATCGATACGATCGTCGTTTGAGCTACCTCAAAAGTTGAATCGCAAATATCGTTTGGCTTTAAATATTTTCCATTAGTCAATAACAGTTTAGGGTTGTTGTTCAGTAGGATAGGAATAATGAATCATGAACCGCTTCTAGGAAAATCCAGATAGGGGACAAGAGGGAGATATGCGAGTACAAATTATTTGAGGTTTGCATTATTTTACTGTTCGCATGGTATTCAAGCAACGAGGACAAAACGATTACAGACATACTTAAGTAAAAGTTCGGTTTATATAATTTTGTTCGAACTTCAATAATACGACCCGAAAGTTGGTAGATTTATCTCAAATTAATTTTAGTATAAAGTAAGCTTTGATTTTTCATTTTCATCTTTTATTATATTACTAATTTTTTAGATCTTCATTCTATACGTTATTTGATAAATAATTGAGATTTATTACCAAATAGATTCATTCAATTTTTCTTAAGATTCCAAATTCTCAAGCTTTTCTAATTCCTCGAAGCTATTACTTATCAAACATTAAACACTCATGCTTGGCGTTTTATGATTCAATATCATGATTATACTAAATATCGTTTCCACAATTAGATACTATGAACTGACGCATTAAATAAGGAGCGCTTTACAAATCTTACGAGAATTTCGTTCAATCGCGTGTCTATGTTGCCATAGATGTACGAGTAGATTAAATTGAATCACTGTCGACCCGGCTAAGCGCGGGAAAGCTCGAAGATTTATCGACATGGAGAAACTCTCGTTTCACCGCTTGTTATATCTATGAGATATATTTACATCGCTAGGATTGCAAACACGTTCGAACGTTTATTTGCACGTGTACTCTTCAGTACGCTCGGTACACGTTTCGCAATGCACACGGCAACACCAGTGAAATTTGCATCTGCACTGCCACGTTCTTGTGAACTGATGCGTGTTGTAGCCGCGACCGCAGCACATTAAGTCGCATCCGTCGGTACCTGAAAAATTATTATAATTGAATTCAAATACTGGCAGAAATAAAGCGTTCAATGGTACACCATGTTTGAGATTCGAACATTCGTTGTTTCAGTTTAACAAAAGGAAAGGAAGACTAGCGTTTGAAAGAGGAACTGCTCAATCTTTTGAGTGTTAAATACTATTCAAGAATGATCTACATTACGTGTTACACGTGTACTATGTACTCTAACTTTCTATTATATAAACTTAGATTTAAAGTCAGATTTAAACTTCATTTTCATTTTCATTTTCTAAGGATCGATCGCATTGACCAATCTGTCAGAATAATAAAATCAGACATGGTGTACATCATAACGACAATTTACCTTTGCTGGTACGATTACAATATCTCCCTTGCGTTCCCAGACTCCCTTGCGCCAAATCTGGCTCGCAGTAATTAGGGGATGGTTGGAGAAAAACCAGCTCGCTTCTCTTTGGAATCCTCTTTTGTCCCACGCTCGATCCCCCGCTCGATTTCGTTCTCTTTAACACCAAGTGTGGCCTTCTTGGCTTGGTGGCTTTCTTTGGGGGCTGTCGGTCATGGCGGGACTTTCCTATGTCGTTTGGTTTCCCTTGGGTCTTCGCGTCGTTTCCCAAAATTGGCACTATCTCAGCCGATGTGGAGTGCAACGTGTCTAGACTCTAAGAAGAGCACAGAATTCACATCAGATTAGCCTCAACGAAATTTCCAAATCTTACTAAATATAATTTTTGAACAATTATACACTTTTATGTCATATACGTAATTAACAAAAAATTTCGACAAATTCAATCTAGTGTACATATTTAAATATTTCTTCGCATTGATATTAATATCTAAATCGCTATTTATGCTCTGCACAAAAATTGCATCTCATTCGTAACGAATTACTTTCTACATACATATGTACGCATATAATGACACAGCATGTGTGTATCACTTCCATGTAACTGTGAAACTGAGCGCAAAAATGGGCGTATCGTATATGGCGACATAAGCGTTTCGCTCTGCAATTCCTGTGCAGAACGATCACACGTTGCTTCGGAGCAATGTTGACCCACTTTTACGGAAATTACCTGCATCGTCGGGGGTGGCGGTGGGGTAATCGCAATGACGGGCCTGGCGCGGTAATACTTTTTCATCAGTGCATCGCCGATCTGACGAAAACTAGGCAAGGTTCGCCAGCAGGTTCTCACGGTGCAAGAACCGGACACGCCGTGGCATTTGCATTCCGTTTGCAGCAGAGCTTTAACTATCTGCAATGAAACAATATTCACATAATCAAACAGGCAATCCGCACGGTGTAATTTCAAATCCCTGTCTCCCATTAGCGACTGCAGCGTCAGTAATCGAATGCCTCACGACTATGATCGATGCCAACCTGTGTTCCCAATGCAAATCCCATTAAAGTACATTGCTTACACTCGTGTTGATATAAAGTACAGCAGAAGTCCATTTATTGCAACGAAATTTTAGTCCATGCGTTTATTGCTTCGATGAATCATGGTTTTGATAAATCTGACCAAAAATGCTGAATCAGGTAAATTACTTTATTTTATAAACTTCCATATTTGTGACTCTTCTTCGTCTGCTCTTTATTTTTCACGGAGAATTGTACGTGTAGTAGGAACCTTTGTTGCACGTTTAATATGCTTTCTCGAATTGCATAGAATACACTGGAAGGCTCTGGAAGGCGACAAACAGAATATTTTTCAGTAGGAGACAATTTGTGCTTGATAACGTGTTAATTCATTTCAGACTAGCTAAACACATGGCAATTGAATCCACTTATCCGAACGCGAATTTCTATTAGATAAACGAGAGATCATTGGGAAGAATTATTGAACTCCTATTATGTGATCTTCAGCCAAGCTTATTACCCGAGTTCGAATAAATGCAGTCGTACGATCATATAACAATCACTGGGATGTTTCAAGAATTTTGAGATTCGAGAACGACGTTAAATTATACACTTCAGAAAAATTTTTACCATGGTGCATATTCTATCCCCAACTATTTGTAACACTGTAACAACTATCTATAACATCTTATTACTCGAAATTTCGAGAAAAACAACAAGTGTCATTTTTTACATAGGAATAAAACGTGTTAGAGAAAGAACCATAAAGGAAACGCATTAAAAAATCGTGTAAAACCGATTAAAGAGTGTCAAACAGGAGAACCACGTAAAATGAAATTGTATGGAAGAAATACCGTATAGAAACAGTTTCGGATGTTGTGACAACTATTTCAATATGTCGTCTATATGGAAGCATTTCCTTGGCCTTTACGAACAAAGGAATTTTCTTTCAGAAGCGAGCACGCACTATCCTCGGCGCATCGGCGCGCGCATTTCTTCGTCTCCTCGCTCATTGTGTGTCTGCTGGTCGACGCGTATGCTCAGAAAACTGGTTTACATTTGGAATTATCGGGAGACGGTGTGGGGCGGGTGCAGAGGTGGGTTGAAAAAAATCGTCTGGGGCATAAAGTATGCGGTGTGGCGAGGCGATCGACGTTAAGAATAAATCGTTAGCCGGCGCACGTCTGTAAACGCGTGCACAGATCGTACGTGCACGTGGAGGGCAGCCACACGATATATGCGCGTTTTTATTGCCGCCTCGATAATAAAGCCCATCGAGGAAGACGAAAGCTCCGAGAACTTTCCCCAATTAAGACACCGCGCCATTTACGCGCCCTACCTGTGGTGGAACGCGATCCTTTCTCACAAACCTTTCGTTTCGACCATCGACCCACCTCCACTCGTTTGCCTCACACCTTTCGTGAATCTTCTGGCACTCCGATACGACGAAATTAATAATTTTCGACCGGAGAAAATCGAGCGACTTTGTTAACGGCTGACGGAAAGGCAGAAGAAACGTAGGTTATTACGCATATCACGAGTCAATAGGTGGCGCTACACGGCGGGTTGCTGGATTTTTGTAACTCCAGGAAATGTCTGTAGATGGAGCGGAAGGTATAATTAGACGTTAATAAATGCGTAATATTTGAATTAGTGCTAGAGATATTCGAGTTTTGATGGAAATCTGGTCTAGTGGTTAATGTGCTTCGTGTTTGGCGAAGGTTCAGGGAGTTGATTGGGCGTGGCATTCGGCGGGTTTTATTATATCTATTGTTGGCATATTGCGAGTATAGGGAAGTTTCATTTGTGTGGGTTATTGCGACTATTTTTGATTTACGTAGTTATACCGTTAGAAGTTCGTTATTTTATAAGCTATAAAGGATATTCTTTCGTATTTATTGATCGAGCGGTAACTATTGTATTTTATATTTCAAAAGATCGAAAAAAGTGTTGTTTCTTTAGCCGGGAAGCTTTGGAACTATCTTTGTTCTCAGTGTTGAAAAATATAAAGAGAGTTTCGCGAGGAAAAAATCAAACTTCGCATTACGAAGCATAGAGCGAAGCTAATGACGTATAACCACGCACGTTGGCATAGCGGGGAAGAGAAGGGTGAAGCACAATCGAAGAAAAAAGAATTTGCTGCCGGTTCTGTTATCAGGATCGATAAAATCAATAATGTCTCGCATTTTCACAGCGTCTACCATAATTTCCTGCGAAGAATTTCGTGGTATGAAACAGTTGTGCTATTATAAAAGACACCCCGTATAAATTCCACGAATAAAGGCTGCATTTAGTGATCCTTAACCGCCATTTGTACCCCTATTCTCTTATACCCGTTATTACCGAAACTAATCGATTTATGGCGTAATTCAAGGAAATCAATAGGTAGGGAACAAGCTGCTACATGGATCGCAGAAAAGAGCGAATTCAACGCATTGCACGAAATTTCTGGAAATGTGGAAATCACATCGAGATAATTCAACGCACTCTTTTCTACCAGATGGAGACATTTGCATAAATGACGTCGAAGCGGCCATTAAGAAATTTACGCATCAAGAAATACACCTGTTTTCCGTCCTTTGTTAAGATTTCCCAGATCTAAGGTAATAATAATAATTGTTTCATTATAGTATTTATTGTAATATTAATAATATTAAATAGGAATTTTTATTTCTCTATATTATCTATTTTCCATTATTTATTTTAATAGTAAAAGTACTCTATAAATGTCAAAGTAAATGGTAAAATAAAAATGGAAAAGGTGTCGAATTAAAAATTCTTTGGTAGCAAAAGTATCGCTTAAACAAGGTTGCTTAGTAATTAATTACAATATTACATTTTTAATAAAAGTTAAGTAAAACGTATTTCACGGTAGGAGAATAAATATATGCAGGGGTTTATCGGAGAGAATTTAGCAATTATTTCTTCCGCGTTAAAGGCAATGACTCATTAACAGTGACTGGCATTACTCACCTTCCGACCAGCTTTATTATTATGAAGGTTCATCAGGCTCCTCGCGTCACCCTCGACTTCCCTCGCGTCCAGAAACCTACGCGCGAACCTAACATTAAATTATAATATTAAAATCCATGCGTGTATAACAACTGTCGTAACGTACAGCGTCATAGAGGTTTTACACGCACGTGACACGTGCAAAGGGAACCGACTACGAATTCATTACGGATCGGGTTAATGATCCTTACCTCATCCCATAGGTGACGTCCGCGCTGCAACCGCCCCATTCCCAGCCATTTGGTGGTAACTCCTTCCTCGTCCTGCAAAAGGAACACCCGAACCTCGATGAACAAGTGACTCGTTAAATTGAAAATTGGGGGTAAGTTCTCATTGCAAAGTCTCTATCCACGTCACTCTGCGGCAGATTTCGCAAGATTTTTAGTCGCGTGTGACGTCGTAATGATCGACTAGAGTAAAGATTTAGAAATTTGAAGATGCAATATAATTCTAGGTATCGGTGGAGATTGGAATGGCCTTCGAATACGTTTTGAGCACAGCCGCGTTGGTAACCAGCGTTTAACCAGGCAGAACAAGGTACAAAAGGCAAAGACAAGAGTTTACCTTACGGTAGGCTCACAACCGCAGGCCGTGATGTTGCCCCTGCTGCAAGCTGCGGTCACGGCGTACGTTACACCCGCTGAACTTATTGCGTACGTGAAAGCTGCTTCCCTGCTTCCTGAAATAGATCAGTGAGAAATTTCCTGTTAGTTCTAGCGCCGAAGCAGGTCTGTCCAGTTTGCGCGATAGGTAGGAAACGTGTATAGGGATTTCCAGCTACGTAAAAACCAGGCGCGAGTATGTGACAGATAGGGTTACGTTACGATACACGACTACCATCCTTGGGACAATGGAGAGAAGAACGGGGATTTCGTGAAAGAAGGCGTTAATTGCCCGTGTTGCGCACCTGGATATACGCTTTTGTCGTTGGTATACAAGCTGTTTCGTTACTCGTTAAGCTTCAGCTTTGATAGAACATTGAACGTTCTCTTTGAATGATCTTGGCATAGGAATCTTTCGAATCGCTAGAATAAGAATTTGTTAGCAAGTAAGATTTTCTTTTAGTATATTTACTGTATCTATTTTTATCTATTTTCTGTTTCTAGATTAATGCAGACATTAGAGAACGAAGAAGTTCCTAATTGTTACGTTTCTCTGATTGGTGAAGATGCGATTTGCGAATAGAAAGAACTACTGTTTGTCAGCGCTAGTGATCAGGAGCTAACTTGAAAAACGTTTCCAGTCGAAGGTTAATCCCTTCGTCATCAATATTGCGTGAGACTGCTGGTAAGGAAACCGGGCAAAACATTGGTATGACTAGTGAGAGGCGCGGCTCGCCGGTAGACCTCAATGTAAACATTAGAAGTTAGGCTCGCGGTTAATCTTCGACGATGTTTTTCTGTTTCAGTTGCGTGTTATTCTTCGCTGTGTTCGGACGAAATGGCTCAACGTATCCAACGTGTCTCGACGTGTCCGGCGTTCCTGTTGAGTGTGGCACGCGCCATCGGAACTTCAACAGCAGGACAAGGCGTCGATACCCGGTAAGTCTTGTTCTATTTCAATTTTTATTTTACCAACCGTGGTAACTTTCAACGTAACTCGCAATGTCAAAACGGGGACTCGTTTTACTCTTGCACCGCGCGATATTCACGAAACGAGTTTCCTTTGTCGCCCAATCACGCGGCGACACTTGACCAAGTCCGAAAACTGGACTTTCGTCCGATTCGTCCCCGTGGCGCACGTTTTAATCCATGTCGCGCGATCCGATCTACTTCATTTCGTCGACAAGCATGATACATCAGCGGCGCAAGCCCACACTGTCCCCTGGCGTTTCCGTCACGCTAATTTACAGCTATCCGACACACGTAGGGCCCGCGTAAAGCGCGAGCACAATTAATTACCCGCGGAGCTCTTTCAGCTCGTTTGCCATGCTGAATGAGTTACCGCCGCGTTCCTTTCTTCTCTCGATGTTGCCTCTTTTCTTCTTCTTTTTCCTTTTCCCTTCCATTCCATCCCGCGCCGCCCGGTCGCTCCTCGTTTCAGACACCTACGCGATACTGTCCCGCGTCCGAGTTGATTTCGCATTCGCTTGGCAGCCATCAGCCACGGCCGACTCTTTAATTCGTACGTCAGACTCGCCTTCTACACCGACTCCTAATTATCGCGTGTAATAAAACTCGAAGGGTCATCCCGCAACCGATCTCTCACACTTTGACAAACCAATTTTTCACACCGCCATGAAATTATCTCTCTTCCTTTCTTCGTTCTTTCTTACTCGATCCGTGTTTTTCTTCCATTCTCCTCCCTCTCACGGTGGATAATTTACGATTTAGGATTCCATAAGGCGTTTACTCAGCTTTCGTGAATTTATCCTTTATGTAAATGAGAAAATTTCGCGGACCCTTTTAATTTCCGAGCTTCGCTTCCTCGATGGAGGAACTTTAACGATCTCGCGAACGATCGTGATACCGATTGAACGCGAGAAGGAGACCCCGTCTGAAACGCCGTCAGGCTGTACTCGATGATATGACCCGTTGCGACGGGATAATAAACTCGATCGTAAAAGATTCTCACCGAGAGGCGTGAAACTTTCCGCCGCGAATTTCGAAGCGGAATGAAAGTGTCTTGCGGAAGAAGCGGCAGAACAGGCGTCGTCGCTTTGGAAAGACGCGAGATTGGAGACGATCGATGTTTGTTATGTCCATGAGACTATAATTCATCGCGACGCGTTTATGCGATCCATCGTCGCGGCGGATATAGCCGCGCGACGCGAGCCAACGAGCCATTCGAGTGGATTTTTGTCGGTGATCCTGATCGATCGAAATCCACGCGGTGGTCACCTTGAAAGCCAAGTGCCCCGGTTCTTGTTTCGAGATCGAAATTGTATTCCGGACAAAAACTGGTAAAATATCGAGCGCTCCTGCCAGGCTTAATAGCCAGACACCTTCTTCGACGCGGCGCGGTTCTTCCATTTCGAGTTAATTACAGGCTGTGTATTCAGCGAAAGAAATGGTAATCGTTGCTCATCCGCGATAATGGAGGAAGGTTTTCTTTGCCGAGGATTACGACGTTTACCGGGATGTTTAAATATAGCGGGTACTTGGACGGTTGAATGGCGGAGGATTATTGCCGGTGTACCGAGTTATTGTTAGCCTTTAAATACCGTTTTTCTCTTTTAATACCCTTTTGTGTCCTTTTTACCATGGTCTCTTCACGTGCGAATTATCGTAGCTTTAAGTACTAGTTTTACGTGTAATTAAACTGCATATGTTGTCACAGATTGCCGTCAGCTTAACTCTACTCGCTCGATACGGATTCCAGTTGTTTCGGAGACTTCGATGCACGCATAGGACACCAACGAATCCTGATCTCTCTTGGCGTCTCTTCGAATATGGACAGAAATAAGGGATAAAGGCACTCTCTTTTAACTCTTTGCACTCGAGAGGTGATCGTCAGTCGCCATTAGATAAAATTTCGAAGAACGATATTAATTAATATGTCAAATTTAAGCTAATGTAACGGTGTGCGAGCTATCGAAATCCAAAAATTCTACGTGTTAATTATTATACGATTTCTTATTTATTGCTGAAAGAAATATCGCCAGCTTTATGGCAGAAAATCTTTGAACTTCTACTCATCTTTAGCCAAAAGATCGTCGAGTGCAAAGGGTTAATATCCTTTTGTGTTCTTTTTTATCATAGTCTCTTCGCGTGCGAATTATCGTAGCTTTAAGTACTAGTTTTACGTGTAACTAAATTGCATATGTTGCCACAGATTGTCGTCAGCTTAACTCTACTCGCTCGATAGGGATTTCAGTTGTTTCGGAGACTTCGATGCATGTATAGGACACCAACGGATTCTGATTTCTTTCGGCGTCTCTTCGAACATGGATAGAAATAAGGGATAAGGACGCTCAGGATTCTCGAGTTGGTTTATATTCGCGTCACAGTGGTCGTGCCCCTGAAATACGCGTAATAGTCTTATCACGCGTGGAATTTTATGTTGCATAATTTAAATCGATGTAAGCTCTTAAAGCGAACTAGGTATAGGTAAACCAAGTTCCGCGATTATGTATGCATCTTCCGGTACATTATATCAAAGTAGTAATTTCAGGCGAGAGAACCTCGAGGTTCCGGCGTGAGATGCCGTGACAGGGTAGGGTACAGGCGTTGTCAACTAGCCGTAGAAAAATCCGTAATGCATCCTTTACCAACGCGAAAACGTCTATCGGGAAGGTATGAATAATTCATGGTCAATAACGATGCAGAAAAGTGCATGACAGATGAGTATATTTCATGCGTACCCGAAACATACGCGAGCGCATCGAACGAAGCGTAACGTGTTTATTTTATTACTATTTTATCGATAAACTCGCCACAATTTATTCCTAGTGCTTTTTAAAGCCGCCGATTTTTCTCGGCAAACGTATGTAACGATCAGCCTCGGCGTATTACGTCTCTGCATTTGAATATTACACAGTGTCTCGCTAGCAGCAGCTTATCAAATTGATACGTAGAAACTATGTAGACGAAGCAAGTGAATAACTGGTTTAGCTGATTGATATCAGACATTTACTACGTTTACTACGTTTATTACTACTTATTACGAACTTGTCATTAGTCCAAGTATTTTGCGTCCAGCTAGGGTTGAAACGCGTCAATCCTTCCGTTCTCCTCTATACTTAATATATTCGTATTTGCGAACATCAGAGATTTAAGGACTCGGTGTTTCATATCTTATACTTCGCCACCATGTCATTTGCTAAATCCCAACTATCGTTTCATCTTTGCTCTCCTCCGTTCTACCATCGAGAAGAGATGAAAATTAGAAAGTTAGAAATTCTCTAGAATAGGCAATAGAAAAATCCCTCGGGATTTAATGATTAGTATTAGCAGAAGATTAACGAAAACGATCGTGCAGCTAGGTTTCACCCGTTCGCGTGAAAATGACGTGTGAACGCGAGTGGAGGTACTACGTCGAGAACTGTTAGGCGAAGCGCATCGCGTGCAGCGGCTGCTCGCGCGCGCGCCAGCCACCCTTGGTGCTCTTATTGCCGAGGAGCGGCACCCTTCGACGTGGTCCTCGTCGCTCTGACGACCGATGGACGAGGAAAACGGACGCGTTCACGCCGGGCGCCATGATCGCCGAGCCGGGTTATAACCGAGATCTGTATCTCCGCGCGATCGGTCCGCTGATTTATAAGACGCCAACGAGCAGATCGGTATCTGCCGCTCGTTCCCGCGTGTCCCGATGCATCCAATTTATGTAGCACGCGACATCTTCCAAGTCGAAACTCTCGCGAGGATTCGTGCCAGTTCTGCGCCACTGTTTCTCCCTTTTCTCCTTTTTCTCCCTTTTCTCTCCTTATTTCTCCCTTCCTCGCCACTCTCTCTCTAAGGGTGATCCACGCCACGGTGGTTCTTGGTAATTTTGGTCTCAGTTAGTACCGTTTCACGACGATGTTATCTCGTAACGTATAGGCTGCAGCGCGGTTAGCTGTTAGGTGGATCTCGGTCTTGATCGATAATTGGAAATCATCGTTTGTCGATTTATCGAAATCGCGTGGGTGTAGTTGGTCGCAACGGAAGGTGTTATCATCCTGGTGTTGAATTTTGTCGGTTGTTCGATGGCTTTCT